TGATTGGCCCTTTCTTTGTAACCGATATAATAATAAAATAAACTATAATAAGATGAAACAAAAACAAACATCAGAATTGGACAAAACAAACAAACATTAGGAAAATGAACCCAAGAAAAGCCACAAGAAAGAGACACTCTCATTCACACATTCAGGAATCTCATAAAAACATTAAACTGGAAGCCATAATACAACCACGAAGGACCTGAAGGGTAAAAAGAGAGAAAATATATATAATAAATTAATAGGATAAAATAATGGAAGAACCCTGGCATTATGAGACAAGGGACCTCTAGAGATGCTGTGAGTTTATTTTCTATTGATCATTTATGGCTGGACATGCAGCCTACCCTTAAAAGTAGTTTGTTTTCCCAGTGAGAGTCCCTTGAAGGAAATTACATTTTCATGTGATTGGAGATAGCTTCTGGATTAGGGATGGGGGCATGTGTTCACTTCTCCTTTCAGCTCTAGGACCCCATGTGGTGCAGACCCATGCAAGTCACATGCAAGCTGCCTCGGTCTCTGTGAGTTTACCTGTGCATCGAGCATGTAGGTGTAGAGGGCCTTGTTTCCTTGTGTCCTCTGTCCCCTCTGCCTCTTACACTCTTTCTGCAGGGTTCCCCAAGCCCTGAGAGGAGGGCTTGAAGAAGCTTCTCTCTGATAATGGCTCAGCAAGCTATTGATTTATTAGGAGTCATTTAATTGCTATTTTTAAAAAAGTAGTATTTGGTTTTGCCCTAGGTCCCTGAGCTGTCTAGTTTCAAGTTCTTGGTTGCCCAAACAATGTCAGGTATGGGTTCCATCTCATGGAATAGGCCTTAAGTCAGGTCAGATATTAGTTGATTACTCCCACAAACTTTGTGACATCATTGCACTAGGATGATCTTGCAGGCAGGACAGCAATGCAGATCAAAGGGTTTGTGTCTGTTTCTCCTTTGGTAGCCTGCAGAGTAACTGTACAAAAGATACTAGAACATAGGGATGAAGGTTCTATATAAGCAACAGCTCAATTTCTCTGTGTACAACCAGTTATATAGGTGTTATCTTCAGTAACGGGGCCTTTCAGTCAGTTTGTGGAGAGTAACCTATAGTCTTAGAAACAGCCTTCGTTGTTTATAGGGTTCCCATGGAACCCTTTTGGCCAACTATTTAATGAGATGTAACCTAATCCTGGTTTGGAAGCTTCATTTGGTGACAAGAGATGGTCATTTGGGGCTCTCTGATTAGTATCATTTGGTGTTTTTTCACTTAGGTCACCTTCATATATGTATAGATTTTAGGAAGCTTCCACTGTATTAGCTTTCAATACTACCCATCAAATGGCCTTTAAATTTTAGTGGTCTCTCCCTGTATTCCCTCCCTCATTCTCCTCTTCCCTCCCCCTCTTCATTTGATCCTCCTATTCCAGTTTGCCCATCCCCATTCCATTCATTGATACTATTTATTCTTCTTCCCTTACCTAAGGATATCTGCTCTGCTCCATCCTGCCCCACCCACTCTGTTAAACAAGCTACAGAATCACAACTAATATCCACAAATAATAAATGCCATATTTGTCTTTCTGGGTCTAGATTACCTCACTCAGGATGATTTTTCTGTTCTATTTCCATACATTTACCTGCAACTTTCATGATTTCATTTTATTGTTTGCTTTTTCAAGACAGGGTTTCTCTGTGTAGCTCTGGCTGCCCTGGAACTCACTTTGTAGAACAGTTTGGCCTCAAACCCAGAGATCCACCTGCCTCTGCCTCCTGAGTGCTGGGACTAAAGGCATGCACCAATGGCTGAATAAAACTCCATTGTGTAAATTTACATTTTCTTTATTCAGTCATCTGTTGAGGGACATCTAGGTTGTTTCCAATTTTTTACAATTTTGAATAGAACAGCAACAAACATGGTTGAGCAAATGTCTCCATGGTAGGATAAAGCATCTTTTGTGTATTATGTTCAAGCATGGTATAGCTAGATCTTAAGATAGATTTCCATCCTCTAGAGGAACTGCTATATTGATTTCCATTGTGGCTGTACAAGTGTGCAGTCCTACCAGCAATGGATGAATGTTCCCTTTAATCTACATGCTTGCCAGTATGAGATGTCATTTTGTTTGTTTGTTTGTTTTGTTGTTGTTCTTAGGCATTCTAATGGAAATAAGATAAAATTTCAAAGTAGTTTTGATTTGCATTTCCCTGATGACTGAGGTATTGAACATTCAAGTGTTTTTCAGAGATACTTGCTTGGAAATATTCATTGCTGCTATATTCACAATAGGTAGGAAGTAGGAACAACCTAAAAATCCTTGAACTGTGATTCCACAATGCTTAGGAAGCTTGTCTGGTCCTCATGTGACAAATTCCCCAAAGACCGTTCCAGTAAAGTTAGGGAAACGCATAGTGTTTGGCATTGCCATTATTAATGCTTGTGTCTTTCATTGTTAATTTCTTTGGCAGTCTGAATACTTCTAAAATAGATTTCCAAGGCCATCTGTCAAAACCAAAACACATATTTCAACATAGAAAAACAGGCTGCCAGACTCTTGACATGTAACTGATGATGGCTGGCGGGGCTTTTACAAGAAAACCCAAAAACAAGGGCAGAACAACTTTGTTCTTTGCTATCTAAATTTGAAATAACTTCAAATTCCTTGACTTGTTTCTTATTGGCTAGCTCTATCTTAATTATTAACCCATTTCTATGTATTTCCATGTAGTCTTACCGAGAGCAGAGGAATGACGGTTCTGTTCTCTCCAGACTCTCCATCTTGACCCTCCTTACTACTTCCTCTTTCCTCCTTGTCTCCTAGTCCCTCCTATCTAGCTTTCCTATTGGCCAACAGTGCTTTATTCATTAAACAGTATGAGAAACATATACGGAATGACATCTCCCATCAATGTTTCTGCTTCCTTCTCCACAGCCTTGGCTTACAACTAATGGCCCAAGTTTTTATCGTAGAAATGCTAGTCAACTCAACTGCTCATACGTTTTAGAATGAACTACTTCCCTCTTGCAGCTGTGAAGAGCCATGGTACTTTCTTAAATGAGTGACACAGATGGCTAGGTTAAAAATGTTTTAAAAATAGGAATTGTTTACCGATCCTGTAATGGCACAGTATAGCTGACCACAAACATGGTTGTGAGGGGATGGCTGCTATAGTGCTGAGTAGAGACAAGCTATTCTTACATCATTCTGTTGCTTGTGTACAGGATAAGTTGTTAGTAGGGGTGGAGCTAGAGTAGTCATGGAGGACGGAACACCTTTTAAGAGGTTCTTCAGATGGTTCCTTCATCAGGCAACAAAGCTTTACAACTCCCAGCATTGGCTATGATTCCAAATTTCCTTATTAACGAGTTTGATACTCAGCGATTTCACCTCTTCTGGACAGGAACATGCTGGGAAATGTGCAATAACCAGCTGTCATCACTGACTTGCAGTATTTGGTAATTTCAGAGGCACAAATGCTCCTACTGTGACCAATTTCAAGCTACCAGCCTGTCACTTGTCAATGTACTGGTAAAGCAATGTGTACAGTTGGTTCTCAGGGACCACTACCTGGCACCAGCAGCCCACTGCTACCTTTGAGCTCTTAAAGGAGCAACCAAAAGTCTGGTGTGGTGGTACCCCTTATCCCCCAACACCAGGGAGGCAGAGGTAGGTAGGGCTCTGTGAGTTCAAGATCAGCCTGGTTTGTATAGTCTGAGCTGACAAAGGGCAAGGTGAGCCTTCCAGGCACCTGCCTACCCCAGAGGAGGGCTGCCAGGTCTTGTGGCAGCCTTTTGGCTTTTCCACTTCACAAGATTATTTTCTATAAATGCAGGCAAGAAAAAACATATTTCAGGAGCTGGACTGGAGGCTCAGCAGTTAAGAACACTGATTGTTTTCCAGAGAACCCTTGTTGGATTTCCAGCATCCATGTGGCAGCTCACAACTGTCTGTAGTTCCAGTTCCAGGGGATCTGACATCTTCTGACTTCTGAAGGCTCCAGGCATGCAAATAGTTAACAGGCAAGATATTCACATACATAAAAATAAAAAAACAAAGTACCAGGGAAGAACCCCTTTTAAAGATGCTGGTGGCCTATCGATTTACTTATCAAATGTTTTTCTTCTATACCTTTTTTCAACTGTAAGAAGTGATGTCTGTTGTCATTTCCATCAGTGTGATTGCACAGTTTATTATGCTCAGTGTGCTACAAGCCCCTTACTATTATTCATTTCAATGCTCTGGGTTTCAGATTTGGCTAGTGGATGCTCCCTGAGTTGGCTACCGTGAAACTGAATGCACTTTCATGGCTCTCAGAGCATTTTCTTTCTTATGGCAGGTGTGCTGAGTCCATTTTGCATTTTTTTTTTTTTGCCTCAGCACCAAAATAGCTGTTTTTCAAGAGGCTCTATGCATATCTTCATAATGGATGCAAATGATGTATGTCCTTACTCTGGGTAAAATTCAGATATCTGATTTGGTTAGCAAAAAAAAAAAAAAAAAAAAAAAAAAAGATTCTCTAGCATTTGATCACTTACAGCACTACAGCAAAGCTGGATTAGTACAAATTAGTATCATTAGCTGGGATGCTCAATTTGAAGCTGCTTCTGATTTCTGGTGTAACATATGGTGTTGCCACCAAAGAGTCCACAATAAACCCCTGGCTTTCAGTGGGGAGCTCATGTCTGAAATGGTTCCAGATGGCTGTAATTTCAACATAAAAGCTCATCATAGGCTTTAAAAAGTTAGATATTTTCCTGAAACCCTTTCCCTTTGGGGAATGATGCTCCTACCTAAATACTTTGGATTCCCAATCACCAGCCTACACACAGAAGTTCACTGGTGAAGAAAATTCTGCCAACAACTTTATTCAGGGAACAGAGGATGACTGCTTGTATGGCAGTGGCTCCCTAGCTGAGATCCCAGTCCACAGTCTTTAGGAGTACCTTATTTTCACTGACATATACTTGGAAAACATTGCTCAATATATTACCTTAAAGCTGAGAAAAGAACAGAGACAAACTTGTAAAAATACATCTTTTAATAAACACAAGGCAGCACATCACACCCACTGAGGTTTTTAACTTGTGGTTTATAGCACATACTATCCATTATAGGGCATATATACAAGCAGAGTGGATTTATTCTTCTCTGAAGCTGGAGAACATAAATCTGGTGAAACATCTCACATTTGAGGTTGTCTGCCAAGCTGGCTCCTTAGGAGGCCTTTAAAATTAACAGCTTTTAAACAACAAAAGAAAAGAAGTTATCCACCCCATCTCAATAATAGCCCCAGGAGTGCTCAAGTGACTCAACAGAGTATAAATGCATGCTTTCCTTTGATGGCTTTTAAAAATAGCTATTTATGTCAATTCTGGAATGCTAAAAAGATAATACAGAAACAGCTGTTTCTCTTCCTGAGTGAATTCATAATAAATACTATTTGGAGGCTACAGATGATGATGCCAAAAGACTCTCCTAAGAAAGCTTAACATTTGTAGTTACAACCCTGTGTGCCGCAAACTGTCTCGTATTCTCATTGCTGAGGCTGCTTGCTTGCTTACTTGCTTCCTTTTTCTCCTTTTTGATTTTTTTTTGAGACAGGGTCTCACTGTCTAGCTCAGACTGGCTTGGAACTTACTATGGAGTCCAGGATGTCCAGAGAGATACACCTGCCTCTGCCTCCCAAGTACTAGGATTAGCATCAAAAGCCACCACATCTGACCCTAGTTTTAACTCTATTTTATACTAAAACCAAAGGATGGGGGAATTCTTGAACCTTTTGAACAAAAGTTTAGTGAGAGAAAAACTAAGATTAATTAACAAAGGGAAAAAACTAATATTAATCTCAAAATTCCAGCTGCCTTTATCTTGGAATGATCAACACTCAGCTTTATCTATGAATGAGAAGAACCAGAGGGGGAAAAGATTATAAGCTATAATTTAAAAAACCATAAATGTGCATGCTTTGGATGGACAGCATTTAAAAATTATACAATTGGATTTACTTGCCTACATAAAGTAATGATGGACTTAGGGGAAAGTACTACATATCTCTCTCTATAGAAACACTGGGATTAGGAAAAGAGGAATCATGAACTGTTTATCATAAAATCAGCCGCTTGTAAAAATCTATAATATACCACAATCTTTACAAACATAATGCTAGTACATGGAGATTATAGCAATTAATGAGCAGCTCAAACCCCTAAGAGTTAAAATCCAACAGCTCTCAATGTCAAAGTGTTTCATCCACTTGAAAGCACATCAGAGGAGACATTTTAAAAATGTCTCTCTTTAGTGTATCACTTTAATTTCAGAGGTAGAAAGGGTACAATTTCATCTCTCTCCCATCTTGCCCATTCTCATGATCTGAAACTGTTCCTACAGCTTAGAAACTATGAGAGGAAACCTAACTCAAGTGACTTTCTAGTGTCCAGGATATTTGCTGCTGGAGTACCATAGGCTGTCTGTGTCAGGAAGACATGTTTCAGCTGGACTATCTTCCTGGATCAATGCTTGACAGGTTTTCCTAGTTGTTAGCTATCACTCTGATGTGTATTAGATCAAAATTTCTACCCAGATGTAGCTACATTCTCAAGTGTTAGGCAGAGATAAACACCAAAGGACAAGCAGGCAGTGGTGAAGCAGGAACTGAACAGTCAAGTGGGTACCATTCACATCACTCACTACTGAAACAGCAGCCACCAAATGAATCTTCTGTGCCATCACTGACAACTTGGCTTTACAACGACAACTTGACTTTAACATCCTTGCATTTATTTGTCTTAGCCACTAAGCTAGTACAGGGCATGGCTACCTGGAAAGGATTTCTTGCTCCAGATGAAGCAACAACCTGTCACTTGGCACATTTTAACTCCAACACTATAATCAGTAACTAAAAATTATGGTGTGCTAGATACAGATGGGCAGATCTGTAACCGGTGCTCAGAAGGCAGACAGGAGAATGGCGGAAAGTTGGAGGGCAGCCTGATCTACAGAGTGAATTCTAGGCCAGTTAGGGATACACAGCAAGAACCTGTCTGAAGACCAGAAGAAGTTAAATGTTAACCATATTTAAATGCTAGCCTTACTCTGACATTATTTAAAATGCATTATTTAAAATTGTACTTTTCACTGACATGAGGTAGAAGATAGTAATCTTCAGTAAACTGATGCCCAGTCAATTAGTGTCAAGAGAGAACAAAATTATACCCTCAAGCTGGCAGAGTTCTGGAGGCAAACTGCAATCCTTATCTGACTGAAGTTTCTTGTATTTGAAACTGCTCTTTTCAGTTGAAGTCATCAGAGACAATACAGGATTTGAAATATCGGTAAGGATCAAACACAACAGCATTGACTATGCTGCTTTCATCACCTCAACTGCTACACAGGTCAGTCCACACACTTCATCAGACATCTACAAGGAGGCTAAAGACCCTTCTAGTATTAGAAGCAGGATAAAAGGAATGTTTCACATTTAGAAGAATGTAATATATATCTCAGAAAATCTAGCAGCATTTCATTCTACCAAAATATACAAATTTGGCTCCACTGACTAGTCAAGAACAAAGGAAAAATGTATACAGGTCCATAAAGGCTCTTTACGCAGGGGACTGTGTGGCTATGGCACATAGTTTTAACAATTAATTATATCTCTGTTAAGTGCTATGTGAAACTACTGGGATGTCAATTTCAATGGCAGAGAGGCGGGAACGTGATGAATAGGGCTGTGAGTAAGTGTGCATACTGGGAGGGTGAGAGTACAGTGGTTGCCAGAAAGGAGAGGACAAAGATTTGCATGCACAATACCAGATGAACAGAAGAAGAGCGGTCATAAACAGACCCCCTGAGCTAGCAATGGTGACGAACACTGCGTAGTCAAAGGTAAAGACTGGCTCAAACTTCTTGTTGAGATGAGTGTTATAAAAGATGGCCCAGATGGATGGAGAGAGGCTCACAGTGCCTGCCAGGAAAAACAGGAGTCCAGCCACCAGGTGGCAGCCTGCACTATTGACCAGACACTTGGCCAGTTTGATGTTAGGCACTGAAGACTTGAAGGCTGTGTTACACATTCCAATCAGGCAGAGCAGCAAGGCACCCATTGCGATGAGGATGCTGAGCGGCAGGGCAAACTGGAGGACACGTAGGTCCAGCTGGTCAACTGATAAGTACCAAGTACGGTCGTACATCAGGCAGTCACTGCTTCCATCGTACCGGGCACACTTTACCCACAGGCCTGTGTAAATAGTCAGGTTCTTCTCGTTTCTGTTGAATGTGAGCAGTCGTAATTTCCTCCAGTTGGGAAGCAGAGTCCCCGCGAAGAGGCCTGCTACAGAGGCAATACCACACAGGAAAGAGAGGACTGTGGCTGCGTGGACATCTCGGCAGCCCATGGCAGGTAGGCTTGGGCAGTATGGTCAAACTGGGGGTGACACACAGAGAGCAAATCAGACAGAGTAGAGAGCACAGCTGCCACCAACCAGCGGCACATTCTCTACTGAAATGACAGTACAGAGAGCACTTCTGAAGAGCTTGCTCGCTCATGCCTATAATCCTAGCACTTCTGAGGCAGGAGGACTACAGTAAGTCTGAGGCCAGCATGCTCTCTACAGTGAGTCCTAAACAAGATCCCACCCCACCCCTAGCCCTCCCAAAAGAAAGAAAGAAAAGAAAAAGATGGAAACACTACTTTCCTCCCTGTACAACATGAATGTACATCAACATACATGTCCCAGATCAGGTGCACACACATACACTTTGTCATCACTGTGTCACTCAGCAACTAAAATATTTAGCCATCATCATTTTTCTTCACAATTAACTAGAGCAGCATCACACCTAAAGTTCTTGGTTAATATTCATTCAACATACATATATGGATCACTTTCTGTATCAGGTGTATAATGAAAAAGGAGACCTTAAACACAAAAAAATTCAAATTATAGCAAGGACTAGAGCATTCAATAACTGATAGCTGGCTACAAGCGCTACAAATTGAGCATAAGTGCTCAAGCCAATGTAAAGTGAGACTCAGGCAGCAGATGAGTAAATGGTCTGAAAAGGTACAGAGAAAGCATGGCAGGACAGCAGGCTGTTAGGAGCTGACTGACAGACGTTCTTTGAGCCTTATTCCTAATCTGCAAAACGGGTAAGAAAGCAGTGCCCCCGTGATGCAAAGTGCTCATGTAAGGTCAAGTGCTTAGAAAACTGATGCCACGTGTGAAGTCGCTGTTTGGGATGAACACTCAGTGACTGCCTTTGTGCTTGTCCAGTGCTCAGTACTTGGCACACCACAGCGGTTTAAGCAATACTTACTGAATGAATGCTAAATGTGGAAAAAGCAAACTCACCTCACTGCTGTAATTTTGGCACACCAGGATTACTGGAGGTGAAATGGGCTCGTCTCCAGTGAAATCAGACAAATAGGAGAACAAGAGCCCTCGGGTTTCTGCTTACCTACCGTGTGGCTGATTCAGTCTGGTCCAAGTGCTTTTCAGGACAATCTCTAGCACTTGGTGGTTATACAACTATTAATGTTTGTGGACAATAAATGCAGACTCTGAAAGTAGAACACCTACCTCTGCTAATGCTATTATAACAAACAACAGCAAGGGGGCCTTTCTCTCAATGTATTTTCTTTTGTACCATCAACTATTTAAACCAGTATCTGATTCAGTTTTTTTTTTTAAAGAGTTTGCAATGCGCCTCAGAGCACCACTCTTGCACAAGGCAAGAGATCAGACAACTTTCAGGGCTACATTACTTCTGTTGCTGTTCTAAGCAAGGAAGGGGCGAAGTTGAGAGTGACTTTTACTTTGATTCACTATCATGAGGTTCACAGAATCCATCACCTTTCCCAGAAACAAGTATTCTCTACCGAGATGGCACAGAAACATTCCCAGGAAGTGAGAATCAGAAAGATAACCATGGCAAAATACTAAGAAACTAGGTTACAAAGTTGTATAAATTAAGAATAGTTTCCCTCATAAAAATTCTATGCCTGTGTACTCAAATAATAATACAACATTTAGTGTACATAATATTTAGTATACATAAAATGGCCTTGAATTAGATTTTCAAAGTAAACAAGGGTAGTTCTAACTTTTCCCACAACTTGTTATGTTGCCTTCTGTCAATATCAGAAGTTGTAACCCTTCCAGAATATTTTCAGAATAAAATGACAAATTACAGTTTAGCTTTCATGCAAAAAAAAAAAAAAAAAAAAAAAAAAAAAAAAAAATCCACCTCTCTTACTTAATTTTAGCAACAAAGAATCAACAGAGTTGAGAATGCTTGCATTGAGGAATGCTTAATGATGCCAAGCTCCAGAATTCTGTTCCAGTTGTGTGTGTGAGGATTTTTTTGTTTTTTGGACCTGTTTCCTCACATATGCTGGGCCACTTGTATAGTGCCTGCCATACAATCATTCTAGGGTTATATGAATGAGTAATGGGCCCTGTACCAAGACCTTACAAAGCAGTTCACAAATGTGGGCTAGATAAAGAAATGGCTATGACTGAAAAGTCACTGGTTCAGTAAGTATCTGTAGTGTGTGACACATGGAAAATACCCCAAAAGGACATGAAGATCATTGGCTAGTGTGCTAATAAAAATATGCTGCTTCATGCAAACTCAAAATACCGATGGCTACTCAACTGTATAATTACTATGGATTAAATGATCATTGTTATATATTAAGCAACATAAGCCAGTAAACAATTTATTAAAAAGTTATTGCCCCAGGTTAGATAAAGACTACGCAATGAGGTTATTCCTGTTTCTTTTAAAGCTTCAAGACTCCTTCAGCTAATTCTCTCAAACTTTGAACTCAATCACAATTTCATTCTTGCTTCCAGAGATGGGGACAGATACTTACAAATTCAAAGTAGTTAGCTATCTCCAAACAGTGTCCTGTCCCACCGATTCCTGCAACCCAAAGGCAATGCGGAACAGGATCAATGTATTAGCTTTATTATTAATACTTTCCTGTGATCCTTCGCTAACAGACAAACAATATTAATGAACATGGACAGACCGACATTCATTTCAGCACTGAGAGTATTTAACTACACCTTGCTTCAAATCAAGTGAGTTCTGCATCGGTTCTCTGAACTGGCTACGGTGCTACAACAAAGACTTAACAGTTTTATACAAAGATACCATGAAATGTGTTTCAGAAGGAGAATACCAGTACTCTCAAATCTTTAGGCTCAACCCCGCGCTGAAAGTAATGTTCACCATCTCACTTTTCTTTGGTCATCTCACGTTTTATCCTGTTACTAACTCTACCCATCTATAATTTGATGTCTCATTCCACTCCAAGATAACATTTTATAGGGTGATGGGGAAAGGATATATTTACTTTTAAAATTAAAAAATACTGCTGTCTTCCACATTAGGACTTGTTCAAATGTGAGAAGGTAAACAGATTTCTATTCTTGTGCTATGTCAATCAGCTCTATATCCAGAAAACTTTTGAGATGCAAATGTGTCACTTCATTCCTTTGCACTCAGTAGCTTCCCACTTCCTGAATAATAAAGACTCTAAAGGCCTCGAACCTCCCACAGTGCGTACCATCCGCTTTTAGCTTTTACCCCAGCTCACAGTTCTTTATGTACCACTCTCACCTTATACACCTCAAGGTCTATGTAATCACTCTAAATTTCCTACTTTTTAATTTCATTAAGAGCTTGGTCACGTGCTAATCTTCCAAAACTTCTTTTTAAGATTTATATTCCATGTGTGTGGACGTTCTGCCTGCATGTATGCATACCCACCACATAGCATGCACAACAGTGTCTGAGAAGGTCAGAAGAGGGGATCAGATCCTTTGAAACTCAAGTTACAGATTGTTGTGAATCACATGTCGATGCCAGCAACCAAACCAGGTCCTCTGGAAGCGCAGCAAGTGCTCTAAACTGCTAAGCCAGCTCTCCAACCTTCTAAGAGCTTTCTTATCCCAGCCTATTCTTGTTAACTGATATCCAGTCATCTGCTGGGGAGACCTACCTAACCATCTCCCTTTCTGCTCAATGGTCTTCCCCCATCCCTGGCTGCATGATGGGAACAGCACTGTTGTGCTTTTTCTTTGGTAGCAGATAGCACTCTTTTACTCTCTCTTCAACAGCAATGACAATGCCCATGACTCCTTTTTTCCCCACTGTTCTTTCCCAACAGACTGAATTTCAGGCCAGAGATCCCTGCTTTGTTCATTGTGCTTACTACTGGTACACAGGAGGGGCTCTATGACTTGCTGTCCATACTTATCTAGCTGGGATACAGAGAAAACGATAAATTTGGTTTAGTGCAAGTTCCAGTCATTTCATTTGGGACAAGTCACCACATCCTGTTCCTGGAAACACTCAGGCTGTTTCTAGATGGAGTGCTTGTTTTCTGCTCCTTAGGGGCCAAAAGTCTCTCTAATTTTGTAAAAGGAAAAACAAAAATGTTTATCTAGCAATAATGACAGATTTGGTTTTGGAGTGGCCACTGACCAAATCAAATACTCTGTTCCAAAACAGCCATTTCCTATCCTGTGCCAAAATGGCTTTCAGAGAAGAACATTTGGTACACAAATGTTATCAATGATATCATTTTGAATAAAAAAAATATTTTCAAAGGCTATTTTCTCTGGCTTTGAAAGAGTTCAAAGAAGGCTGATACAGAAATAGTGGCTAAGAGTTTTAGGAGTTCACGAACCCATTATAATCTTTTCAGTGGCAATTCCAAGGAATCACTTCAAAAGAATGTATGTCTCACAGCCACTAAATTAATCCTTGATGTTAACACTGGTCATCCCTTCTATCTATAATTTGGGTTTTCTTGGAAACCGTAATCATCAATCACTTTATGAAATGGTCCTGTACTGTTATTTTGTTTAAGAAAAGCACTGAGTCAGAAGATAAAGGGAAAAATTACATAACCAAAGGACACTTACCTTTTAGTGTACCTGATCCTTCAAAACCAGCTTATCCGACTTAGATGAAACAGGTGCACAGCTGCACATAAAGTAGAGATAATCTGAGCCTACTGAAACAGGAAATGCTCCAAATTATTACAGCACTTCTCTAAAAAAAAACAAAACAAAAAAATCCCTGTATTTTAATTCATATAGAAGTAGAAAAGTTAGTAATCATATAAACGTAATAAAATGCTATGGCAAAACAGGCAGGCAATAAGCTTTTCAATAACAGTTTAAGGTTGGTTTAGCTCAGTGCTAGGATGCTCTCCCATCATGTAGAAGGCCCTAGGTCCAAACACCAGCACCACTAAAAAGGAAACAAAACAACACTGATGATCTATCCTCATATTCACTGTCAAGCTAAGAGCCCCAAAAGAAAAATAACTCTTACTCGGTGATTTCAAAATTCAGGATAATTAAGGCTAAAAATAAAAATTACTTCACTGGTTAGAAACTATGAAAAAAATTAATGGATTTTTTTTTCAAGGTCCAATGCATGGCTATCATGAAATAATGAGAATGTTAAAAACACTATACAGTCGTCTTGGAATTAAAAGCAATCCACTGTTTTCTAAAATGCTTTAAAAGTGGCACTCACAATAAAACCAGACAGAAGTGATCCGCATTGTTCATCCTAAAGTTTGCAACCAGAATGTTCGTGTTAGTTTATACCGTATGCTATCTCCCCTGGCTCAACCTGCCATCTCAAGATGCTTCCCTGTGTCGAAACAGGAGTGACTTCCTCTTTAAATAATATCTAACTCAAACAGGTAGGATGAGTGAAAACTCATAAACGCCTGCGCGCTTCCTGGATTGAGGCACTCATTACTGGTGCTATTACAGTTAATTATGCAGGATGTGGTCTGTGTGCTGATTTTGGTCAAGGTTCCTCACCTCACATCTATGATCATTGAGCTGATGCCAGGCATGATCAGAAGGGCTCATTTCACAATCTCTAACACCATTAGGACCCCCGGGTGACCTTTTCCAGTGAGATCACCTAGTGTGGCAGTTCTGTGATGTGGAGCCTGGCCCTTTTTCAGCACAGAGGGGGGGGGTGCAGCAAAGCCAGCTCGCCCGCCCCACCCGCCCCCCTCTCTCTTCCCCTCCCCTCCCCGCGCTGGAACTGCGTCCTCAGGAGAACCCGAGCGGCCGAGCACGGAAAGGGGCGGCTGCGCACAGCCAATGGGAGGAGGCGGCCGCGCGCTCCCCCAGCCCACCCTGCGGAGCAGGGGACAGCGGGCAGGTCAGCGTTACACAACCCGCCGCATCGGCTGCTCCTTCAAAAATAGCAACTGCCAGCCCGCGCCGCACGCCGCCGCCCACCCGCTCCCAGCCCTCGGCTTCCCAGCAACGAGCTCCACACGTCCATACTCCTCTGGAGGCAGGGAAAAGCTTCAACGCTCTACCAAATACCCCCTCAGCCGGTTTCCACAGCCACACGTGTGGGCAACGTTTGAAAGGCCGGCTCGCCGCCACTTGGCCGTTTCACGCACACCCTCAGCAACTTGCAAAAGACTCCGAAACGGGAGCGTTCCTGACCACACCTACCGGCTCCTCACGACCCCAGCAGCCAGCTCTCCCACTCGGAGCAGACTCTCGCCCCGTCTCCCTCCGCGGCCGCGGAAGTGCGTCCCGGCGAAGCCGCCCCAGAGGCTTCAGGGAGCCAGTCAGGCTCTCCCCGGGCCCTGCTCAAGAAGACCTTGGCTGCGCGGAACTACAGTTCCCAGGATCCACCGGGCCACAGGCCACCTCCTGCGACCACCTCCTCCTTCCGGGTCCCGCCCCCTCGCTTCCTTTGCACCGCTATGGAATTGGTTTAAAATGCAGTCACGCACACGCATGAGACACGAAATTGAGACTCGTTTGAGTACTCAATCAAATGTTGTCCATTAAATGCAAAATAATATCCACACAGGTTGACAGCTTACTTTTGTAGTTATCTAACAATAGGCAAAAGATAATCTACCACAGATAGCAGTTTCCGATGTAAAACTAGTTATTAGGTATTTAACTTGACTCTTCTATACATCAACTATGCTCTCTCGTTTTCTCTTAAACATGAGTCCCGTGCAGATAAATATCTCAAAGGACTTCTCCACAGAATTTATCCAATTATTAAAGAAAAAAATGAAGAAATGTGATCCCTATGATTTCCAAAAGATTCCACCGCAGCATATACACACACGGAGAAAGAAAAACTGTGGTCAGTGTTGACACTTTTTGTTATTTATAATTTTTTAATAGTTCTGATTATATTCTTTCGTCTCCCCCACGTCTTCCGAGATCCTCCCCACTCACTACACGCCTAACTTCACGATATTTCTCAAAACAACCAGAATCAAAACAAAATCTCAATTAAAAAAAAAAAATCATGACATGTTTTGTGTTAGCCAGCTACTCTTGTGTTGATGTCTTCTGGAGAATACCGATCTCTTTTGCAGCAGCTATCAATTGCTAAGAGCTTCTAGGTTAGGGAACAACTTTTGAATCTAAGCAAGTACAGTAATGTTTCTTATATTTGTCATTTAAACATTCTGTTCAAAATGGATGGAAAACTCATAATTGACACAACCCTAAAAGATCTCATCCATTTCTTTTTACTCTGCCCTGGCATGACATTGGACAAGTGGACTCGTGATGCCTTACTCCATCTGTAGAACAGTGTGTGTCTACACCAAATAATCATGAGAATTAAACTCATTTACTACATATAAGGAATACACAGAAAAGTACAACAGTATCTGGCACACAAGGACTTGGCTATTAGTCGTTTCCATTTTGTGTTGCTATAGTAACAATTACACTGTTACTCAAAGGGGGAAAGTCTATTATCTGTCTACAGCTATCCTTTCCTCATTAATGCCATATTGCCTCAGACACTGCACAAGTCTATCTAAGGCCAGAAATCATCAGTCTCCAACCAGAGCTAGAGGAAATGGGACTCTAGTGCACAGGTCTTATCACCCAAGTCTGGTTTCCTGCCCCACCTTCTCTGCCTCTTGGGTGTGAATGAGATGCCTCATGGCCCCTCTC